TTAACCATAAAAAATACTGATAAAAAACAACCAGTAGGCCGAAATAATTAGCAAATTAGGTCGTCAAAATTGAGCATGATGGTCAAAAGTCCCATTGAAAATTTTCAAATAATTTAATTATGAATAGTGTATGGGACATGGTAGGTTAGATATTTGAAATATTAGTATAAAAGACTTTATTTATATTATTTTCTTCAAAAATATCTAAATATTCTAATATTGTCAATTGAGTCAGTCTATAATTAACATCATTTATCATTATCAATTTCATTTGCCTTTGTTTTCTATGTTTCTTTAAAATATAAGAAAATATATACAAATATTTCTTCATCATAGTTCAGGGTACAGAAATAAGTTTTTTGGAGAAGAAAAACATAAACTGAAAAAAAATATACAGGACAAAATAAAAAAAAAAATTAAATAATACTGACATACTAAAAACATGAGTTAGTGGTGTAAAGCATGCTACATTAACATTTTCATGAAAAATTAATACATCGTTAACTTATTAATAAAATTGGTTTAATTATGAGTAAACATTTAATCTATCATTGTTCTGACTCGATATTGATTATTACTCCTTAAATTATAATTCCCGTAAACAATTTAAGTTAAATCTTCATTTTGTTAATATTCAAAATGAATTATTCACTCTAAAATATCAATCAATATTACCTTTTAATATTATAAGACATATAAATTATATATGAAATGAAATTTATAATAATTATTAATGTAAACCGTATAATGCAATGTGAGAGTGAAATGTATATATTTTGATAGAAATTTTACTTAAAATGCATAAAATTCTAATAGATAGTTTCCTATCATGGAAGAATTATATTACAAGCTTAGGCATACATTCACTAATAATAAAAAATTAATGGGTTAAGGTACACAAACATATCAGTATTTCTGTGCCATTACAATATTTCATATAATCAAAAATAAACCAAAACAAGTATTCTTACATCTATCACATTTGTTGGGGCCATTGTTATTCATAAATTAAAATAAGTTGCTTTAAATTTCCATGAAAAAATCAAAACAATTAAATTAATATTGTTTCAATACTACTAATTAATAATTCAAATCCTAAAACAAATTCGAGACCATATTTCATGATATATTTGTAAAGAACAGCAACAAATAAAAAAGTAATATTTAAAAGATTTGAAAATTATTAGAGCTTATATTATGTGTAAAGAAAATATCAGATTGTCTCTAGCAAAAAGAATACTGAACATTTTGAAAGTATATTACTAAAAATAAAAAAAAAAATAAAAAATACAAACTTTTTTTTTAATGAACTCGTTATCACCTTAGCATTGTCCTTATAAATATAAAATATTTCTAGATTCAATCAGACTGTGTTAGTAAAATATTATATACATCAAGAATATTTTTAAATATACTTATTTAAATAAAAATTAGTATACACACATGTACATGCACATACACCCCAAGAAAAGAAAGAAGCTGTTTCTTTCTTCTTGAATATAAGCTGTTGAGCTGCCTTTCTTACATTTATTTTTAAAATATTTGAAGCTAAAGACATTACTAATTTACTTTCCATCAATTGACATTGAAATCCATAATGCAGGCATAGGATTCAATAGAACCCTTCAATTCAAAAACCTATTTATAATTTAATAGATTACAAATAGTATTTGAAATATATTGCTGGCAAAAATATGAAACCTTTTAAAACTTGAAACTGTTAAATCACAATATTTTTGAGAAATGATATTTAAAAAAAATTACTTCATCATATTGAGGCTTTTTTTTTAAAAATAATAAGTAGTGGTAAGTAATATATTATTAATTTTTTAAAAAAAATCAACAATGCATCATTGTTCATACATTTATTCCAAAAATAATGTATAAAAACTATAAATCAAACCGTTTTAGTTCGATGTGGTTTCAAATTTTCTTCCAGTTTATGTATGCATATATTAACACTCACCAAAAAAAAAAAAAAAAAAATATATATATATATATTAATATATATATATATATATATATATGACAAAACAAAAATAATTATGAAACCATTATTGAATATATTAAAATCTGTTTATATGACATTTTAATCATTTTCCCTTCTATTGGTAAATGAATGGTATTAATCCTCATCTTCATAAATGTATATTCATACTTCACTTAGAGCATAGGTTACCAAAGGAGAAAGTTGAAAGGAATTATTATTGATTTTTTTTTTTTTTAGGTGAGTGTATAGAAATTATTCTATTACTATTATCAAGATTGATGACTTTTTAAGGGTAAATGTACACACGGTAGAAATCAAAGGATTAAATTAGTGAATTGCAGTCTTATGTACACTAGGTTGCATAGATTAATAAATATATATATATTATCAAATATACAATGGTTGGTCTAGTGCTTTAGTATTTGCTATATATCTGCTTTTGTATCCATAGCTGCATATGATATTCATTATCCATAACAAATCTTTGAATGTAACCTATCTTGAATAAACCTTAAATTAATGTTTTGATTATTTATTCTACAAATTATATGTAATACCTTTTTATAACTCAAGCAGCTGTAAGGATTGTAATTGTTAACACTTTATTAATTTTGGTAACCAAGTAGGAATTATTTGGATATCAAGAGGTGTTATTGTCTACTGTGTTATTTATTTTATTAATCAGCCTAAAATTTTAGTTAATAGTTCAACTATTGAATCATCGATTTTAATTTTCTATTTAAAAAAAATTAATGTTAAGAATTTGGTCAATGTTATTATCAATTTATTCTTGTCGATTTGTTATTCTCAAATTATTTAATGTGGTCAGATAAATTATTTAACCAACCTCATTTATAAAATTTAGAAAACAATCTTATTTAAATTTTAGTATTCTTCTTTATGTAGCATCTGCTGGCAAATGTATCTGAATTATATGTGTATTGGAAGGATTTTGTACAAGAGGTGTTCTTTATGATTGGACGGATAGTTCATATTATGCGATTACCGATTTAATAACATAATATAAATTGAAATGAAATTATTTGAAGTATGTTTTACTAAAGCACTTGACCAAATGGCACAATTAATAACAATTTCTTTATATTTCAGATTTAAAAGTAATATTTACTACTTAAAATAATAAGGTATTTGAACATGAAAAATTTATTTTGCAAATTGTCTTCATTATGTTGCTTAGTATTTCAGATTATGTATTTATTGTCTAACTTCTATCAAGAAATAATTGAAACTTTACAGTTTGTATTTCAAATATACACACTATATACAAAGTGATTCTAATCAAAATCAAAATAAAAAATACTTTTTAAGTTGTTAGTTAAAAATAAAAGAAAAATGTTTAAGCATTTCTAATATTGCCTAAAAAAAAAGTTTTATCAATTTCATTTGACAGAACAAGGTTTATAAATATCTTCTGTAGAATCAGTTTCGTCTCAAATATATACAAATTGACTATTATTGATTAAAGCTAATTAAAATATCCTAAATGTGAAGAAGCTATGGAAAATAAGCCCTCTAGCCCGGCCCACGACCGTGACTAGAGTAGGTGCGACTATAAGAAATCTCGAGGCCTGCGTGGTCCATCTTGAGATGGTGGGGGATCTGGATCTGAAGGAGAGGGGCGCTGGGGCACACCAGGTGCTTGAGCCTTGCCTCGCGACTTGGAACGACGTTTTACAGGAGGCTTGCTGCCGTCTGCTCTGGCCTCAGCTCCAGAAGCAGATGATGGACTCGCTGAGCCGAGCCTCGATAGAAGCTCAGACAACATCTCTTCCATTCTAGCCACTTTTTGGTTAAGTTTCTGGACCTCTAACTTTACGTCTACTTTGAATTCCATAATATTTGCCATGATCTCCTTGAATTCTGGTGGAGCGGCTCTGAATTGCACTCCACTATCAGCTGATTCAACTTTTCTAAGCATTCGTGGTTCCTCTGCCTCTTCAATGGTGTCTTGACGCCCTGCTACCCTTATGGCTTTTGGAAAGATTTTGTTACCTCCATTTTGGGCTCTCCCAGTTGAACTTTCACTACCTGAATCTAAGCTACTGCCTAGAAGTCTTCCCCATTTACCAGGGCGTCTTGAGGCTGATGAAACTACAATAGCATCTTCCTTTTCAGGTACGGGGCTGGCTTCTCCTTTCTCTGGATCTTGAGGACTTGCAGACAGTGATAATTGAGGTGTCAATGCTGCCCTATCTCTCCTGAACTTGGAGAATATTTTTCGAACCAAATGGTCTTGATTCTGATCCAGTTGTGGTTCATTCTTCCTTCTTTCTGCAAGCTCCTTCTCTCTTCTTACATCTGCCACTTTTCTAAATATCAACTGTAAGTACAAAAACAATTAATAACATTTATCTATACATAGTTAATAAATAAATAAATATAATCACAAAGAAAAAATAAAATAAAACCATATGAAATTTCTATAAACTATATTATATATTTATAAAAATTCAAAGCAATAGCAGTATAATAGTGGCTTTGCTTGAATGGTTGTTTCATTTATTTTTCATTAGAAAAACCAAGAGATTTGGAGTAATTGATTATTTTGCGTTTGGCAAAAAATATCAACACTATTATCCATACCAATACAGTGATACGGCAAATAAACAGAAAATCAAATCAAACACAAAGTATACCAATGGGAAGCAGAAACTGAAATAATAACATTATTTGCAAATGTTAAAAAAAAATTATAATGAAATCCAATAATGAAATATTAAAAGAACATATTTATTTATTCAGTTAAAAAATAACAAACCAAACATAACAAGTGCCCAAAGATAAAACATTATCTCAAAGTTAATGATTAAATATTCTTAAGGAATTCAGTGGTTTAAATAGTTTTTTGCCATGATAAATTGACAGTTTAAGCATTTAAATAATATGTTCATTAGAATTCTATTCACATTGATAGCACATTAGTAAATTACGGATTTAAAATTAGTCTGTACTTTTTTTTCAATATATTAATCAATGAAATAATATATTAATAATATTCTAATAGTAGTATAATATTAATAGTATTATTAATATATTAATAGTATACTTTTTATTTATTTATATTTTCTTTTAGAAATTAATAAAATTTCAACAAATAACGTTATAAAAGAATTACATAACTAAAATATATAATTATAAAACCATACCCTGTTTCGAAGGTTGTATGTGAGGACAAGGTTTCTCGCAAAGGAGTTTGCAAAAGCCTGGTAGAAATCTAGGACCTCCAACAGCTTATCTCGTTTAATTGTGTGTAGGTCACAGTAAGTGAGTGCTCTTACATTAGCAGCTGATTGGCCTACTGCATTATCCTTCCAGAAGGAATCTCCAAATACATCTCCTTTACCTGGAGTAACAAAGTGAAATTACAGCTTTAATAAAGTTGGAATAAAATATTAGAAGTTATACTCAACAAAACTCCATTTATTCTTTTGATTCTCAAACTCCAAGTTCACCCCCAGAGAGGCGAAGAAGGGGTGTGAAATCTATGGAGGGCACAATTAAACAAAATTTTTTTTTCATGAAAACTCTTGTCATTATGATGTAGTAGTAAGTTTTGTTTTCATAAAACAATTGATTTATTAATGTTGTTAACAATTTTTCTATTAACAAACAATTTTTTAAAAAATCCATTATATAGCTACCATTAAGTAAGGTAGTATATACCATTAAGTTAGGTATTGTGTACCATTGTTGTTAGAACAACGGTGCCCGTCCCACTCCCCATGGTTTTTGGTGCATGAGCTTCCTCCCCTTTTTCCAAATTATTATAAAAATAGAAAAATAACTTTATGACAATGTGCCTTATGCTGTTATAGAAAATTATAAAATATTTCTGGGTAAAAGACTAAAAATAATAATTTAATAATAAAAAATAAAAATAAAAAACATTAGATTAACTAAAATATTTACATCAATTGTAAAGTAAAAAAATATAAGTAGTAAGCAAAATTTCCTAATAAAAAAAAATTATAACAATACCAAAAATTACTTCTGATATCTAAAAATATTATATTGCTCTCCTCTTATTAAAACAGTGCACCCCTTGTTTGAAACTTTTCATTATGAAAATTTATAAATCCGTCAAAATGTGCTCCCCTCAAAAATTTTGATAGCGCAACCCCCTTCAGGCCACTCTTAAGTAATGAATAGATTAAATTGAAAATTGTGATTCTACCTAATCACCTTTGAAAATTAATACAAACGTCATAGTTATTGATATTCACTTTTATGAATAGGATATGTAGATATAAAATGCTACATACCTAATATGGCAACCACTTCATCATCTTGGATCACTTCTAATGATCCCGTCACTATAAAGCAGAGGGAATCTATTGACTCTCCAGTGTGGTAGAGAAGATCACCTGTAACATTTCTTGTCACCATCATAAATTCAAAAATTATTTCATAAGTATTTTTTTAAATTTAGCATTTATGATCCAATAGTTTTTAGAGTTACATTTATTTTGTAAATGTCATTTATAATTATTATATTCCAATAAAAATTTGTTTTCTAAAACAGATTGTGCAATACTTTGTTAACAAATAATTCCTCTTGATCTCTAGAATGAAAGCTGAGGAGTGTAAATAAGAATAAAAAAACATTTCCTTGTGTGTCAGATTTACAAATACTTTTCTTTTTAGTCAGATAAAAAATGTGGAATCAACTTAACAGATAGAAAGCTCTTTTTTAATAATATAAGCATCTCGATAATGAAATAATTGATTAATAATAGTTGTGAATAACAATTTATAAGTAAAAATAACAATAGCGGATCCAGGATTTAGTTTTGGAGGAATTTCATCCAGAAAACTATTTTATACATATATATATATATATAATGATAATTGCTTTGGAAGAAAAATAAACTAATTATCTATATGAAATGGTGTTTAAGTAATTCTTGTAGTACTGTTAAAATGTATTTACATGTACTTTAAATAAACAATAGTACTGTTAGAGATAATGTTTTAATACTTTTTTTTTCATAAAACATAGTTATATTTTTCCATTTTGGGAGGAGGGAGGAGCTTCAACCCAAAAGCTGCTCCCCCCCACCTAGGTCTACCTGTGACAATTAGTAAAGGATTTTAAAAGATTTTTGACCTCAAAAATGAAAAGTGAGTGAGCTTTGATGGCAACACTGATTCAGTCCGCGGACAGTTGGGAAGTTTTTTTTTTTTCAGTTTTAGTGGTGTTTTATTTTATGAAGCAATGATTATTTTCTTTTGGTGCAGGTAGCTGTAGTAACAGTTCAAAAGGTAAGTAACATTTACATAAATTTCGTCACATTTACATTAATTTGCAGTATTTGTTACATCAATACTTTTTATTTCAAAAGTTAGTACTGAAATGTTATAATAAAATGTAACATGGAACCTGTTATTATTTGAAAATGACTCAATTTTTAACTTTGAGATGTTGTTTGGACATGGAAGAAGGTAAACATAGATCAATTATAACTACATGTCGATTCCGTGAATTGGCAGAAAAAAATAATATACGTTATTGTATGTCTGTATATATACATAGAGATAGAGCTGTATAGAAAGTTGGAGCAATATAATAATAACGAATATTATAAAAATTAATTTTTTTCAGCAAATTGTCGGAATTGACATATAAAGTTATAATTGATACTACTTTTTAACCGTTAAAGATAAACTTGTAAAATAATATATTTTCTTGAAGAAAATTTAATTATTAAAAACTTTCTTCCCCATTGCTTAATCATAGAACGAAGTAGTTTAGAGTTATCAAGTAAAATAATGTAAAAAACATTAGGTAAACACTTGTTTTTCCACATTAGTGATAGTTTAGGACGGATATCTCGAAAACTAATTGATATAAGAAAAAAATGTATAACACCAATCATATTGCAAATTTTATCGGCTTTAATTTTCTATAGGATCTCTTTGTCGATGCGATGGGTGGTTATCCATATATAAGCGAAAACCCGAAAAAAGTGACCTACTGGATCCCCCTCCCCTGCCACATCTGGCTCACCACCTAGGAGTGAGAACTTTTAGTATATTGACCTCCTTAATAGTCCCAACAATGTCCTAAAGTCAAAAATTATGTCCCCGCCATTTCCTTCTATAATCATCCATTGGCTGGACTATAAAGGAGTGATAGACCTCAAGAACTACAAAAAACTTTAAAACGTTTCAGCTCACTAGCGGATCCAGGATTTAATTTTGGGGGGGAGGGGGCTTCAGCCCGAAACCTTTTTTTTTTCATGAAAATAACAATAATTACTTTGGAAAAACAGAAAGAAACTAACTACCTATATGAAATGGTGTTTAAGTTATTCCTTAAGTACTTTTAAATGTAATTACACGAACAATAATACTTTAAGAGGTATTTTTTAATTTTTTTTTCCCATAAAACATGGTTATATTTTTCCATTTTGGGAGGGGCTGCAGCCCGAAAGCCCCCCCCCCTCCCCGTAGATCCGCCCGTGTTTCAGCTCATAGAAAAAAGAAATTAAAGCCATGCAATAATTTATTATAGTTATTTTTTCTGAAAACAAGAGTACTTTTAGATGGCAGGATATCATCAACACTTTTTACAAAACGAGATTAATTTAAACCTATTCCGTAATAACTTCAATATAATTAATATTAACTTAAAGGTTATTTAACAAGAAAGTTTTTCTAAAAGTGATGTATCTGTATAGATATCAGGTATCTGAGATAGCAAATAATTCATATTTTTTTTTGAAACAGAACTTATCTTAGTTTAGCTGCTCAAAGTCCTCTTTAAATGGTTTTAACAATAACAAACTCTACTTTCCTTGGAAGTAAATTTTGTCTAGTTTAATGTGAAACCATTTTTAATTACTTTAATTGAACATTTTAGTCCGTGGTATCCCTTTTTATCAAATTATTAACATTCGCCTAAAACTTCGTGAATAGCCTCATGTCTTCGTGGCCTACAACTTTTTTATTTAAGACTGGTTTTATAAATTATATTATAAAAATGGTTTTAATATTATTAGAGCGACCTTATCTCATTCTTTTTAATAAAAAATAAAATACCGTGCGGATGTACTGGTGTTTCTCCTCTTTGATAGGTGGCAGAACTCATTGCAACGTTATAAGTGGAATCCCGCGAATGGCCGAATGTGTATGAAAGTAGACGAAGGTGAACCGTTTGTTAAGGTCCCAAACTCAAACATTTTTACCTTCCTTTCCTCGTCTTTTAGGATGTATGAGTTTTTCCTGGGCTAGGGGATGAGGGCGGAGGATTAATGCCAGAATAAAACCCTTCCCTCTCGGCACTGGGATGTGAACTTGTAATTATTTATCAAATTATCTTACATTACAAAAGATTACGATGCTGTGCGCACACGTTAGTCTGCTCGCCCACCCCACTCCTGTCCTAAACTCAACTGAAGAGAAGTCATTGGGGATTTTTTAGTCTCTTTTGAGTAGTAGATACAGTAATATAGTAGTAACAAAGTGATTAATTAATATTAATACCCTTTTTATTGTTCCAATATATTCTCAATTAAACGAAGAAATATATCTTCTACTTTGAAAAATCTAATATATCATGATCAGTTTTTGAGACAATAAAGACAATAGAGTTCTAGATAAATGGGAGAATATTGAGACGTACCTGGAGCTGAATGACTCATGGTGAAGTGCATCGCCAGGGCCCTGAGACAGCCGTCGGAGGCCAGTCGGAATGCCGGATGCTCGTTGAAGACTTTGCGGTTGAGGTGGACGCAGATGTCGGCCTTCATGTCCTTGGGGCAATAGTTGAGGACCTGCCAAATCAGTTTATGCCAAAACAGGGCTCATTACGCTAAGGAGCCACAACACTGACACTAGTCAATATAGAAGCCACTACGTCATTCCCATGCAACTACTGTGTACTGCTCTAAGCGGGATATTCTTACCTCCATTTTGATTCCATTGTTCTTTATAAAAACGCCATCGTATCTATAAGACCTCTTTCTTTTTTATTCGAAGCTTGTCTTTTTTCATTCAGGCTAGATGTATTCAGTAAAATGAAATCATTTAAAATTCAATTTCGTATACATACACCTTGTTTTTCTGATTAGGTTAGGCCATGTTGTTTTTGGACACTTATCACCTTAGATTACTGTCCTTCTTCTTTTATATTGTGAACAGGAGATCTCTGGGCCACTGGCTTTTTAGTCTTCGTTCAGGGTGACCGAGTAACAAAGAGGAAAAAAGAGACAGAACAACTGGATTTGGATGGTAAAGAATTGATGAGTGAAATGTGATAAGTTTGTCATGTATGTAGGATTATAATTTCGGTATGTTCATGAAGTTGTGTGTAGTATGATTTGGAACAAATCAAGATTTTTCGAAGAATTTTGAATTGTACAGTTTATATTGACTAAGTTCTGCTCCGTACGTCCAAATAGATCTTGGTATGGTAGTGTACATTAGTTAATTGTTTTGTAAGTTGAGTGGAAATTTGTAGTCCAAGAGATGTGGCAGTTGTTTGTATCGTCTGGACAATTTCTGTTTCATCAATTTGGCAGGTATGTTATTGAAAAATCAGAAATCCAACTACCAGATCAATTTATCTTCAAAATTATATCTCTGATTTCGAAAAGTAGTTCAACCAATGAAATTTAAAATAAAATCCACCGAATCAAGCCATTTTTTTTCCTTCGGAAATTTTCATACCCGTCTGCAACAAAAGACTACAGCCCAGTTACTTAAAAAAAGTATGTACGGTATCCCGGACTATACTTGGACAGGCAACCTGGAGCTATAAAGTGTACAAAAACAATACGAATATGAAACTCAGTAGTTCAATTGGTTTTGAAATTCTACGTGGTTTCGTAAAGGAAAGCACGGCAATTAGAGTCTATTATCGCCTATCTATACTCTAGGGTTTTACTGTTGGTATGTCCGTGTGGTTGTGTATAGTGTGATTTAAAATAAACCAAGATGCATCTACAATTCTAAACAATTTTAAGAATCTTGTGCCGGTTTGAATTTTGTATTCTGCGGAACTCCAAAGTTCTCTTAGAATAGAGATTAGTCGCTTGTTTTGAAAGTTGTGTGGAGATCTGTAATCCTATTGATAGTTATATATATATATATATATATATATATATATATATATATATATATATATATATATATATATAACTATATATAAACATATATAATATATATGATAGTTGTTGTATTGTCTGGTCAGTTTTTTTTTTTTTTTATAATTTTGTGTGTATGCTCCAGGTGAGTTTTCTGTCGAAATATAGTCCGAAATACCGTACGTAATTTTTTTGAAGGAACTGGGAATTGTTTTCTATTGTTGCGGTAAAACATAAAACTTTCTGAGGGAGAAACTAACTTAAGCCGTTTATTTTCATTTTCCATTTTTCGAACCGTCTTTCGAGATCATAAAGATTTTGAATCGAAATTTTGTTTGTTTGTTTTATTTTATATGTTATTGAAAATAGGTATTTGTTTTAGGAATTCAATTATTTTCCTTATATTTGTGATTCTATCTTCTAGTATTTTTTGTAGGTTTCTTCTAATTCTTAAACCCTGAAAATTGCTGTCATATAGAGGGCAGCCTTATCAAGATGGCCAAGTTTGTGATTATAAATCCAGGAATACGTCGTCCATCTTCACCTGTTAAGGTTAGAGCTTAGGATTTCTTTCTTAATTCTTTTAAATTTATTTTGATCTTTGGCGGTTTTCGAAGCAGAGACCAGGTACCTTGGCTTGGTACTCACTACTAGGTATTTGCATTGTATTTGTTTCGTGTTGTTGAGTATTCCTTAAATAATATATTTTAAAGAGTTCATTGCTATGATTTATCTTTAGTGTTTTATTACACTTTTGAAATCTTTTTTCATTTTTTTTCTAATTAGATTTCTAATCATATACAGTCAAAATGTGAAGAAATTACTACAAAATGCAGAGGCAGCTTCTTTCATAGGTTTCCTTGTTTTTACAAAACATACAGAATAATGTTGTCGAACCGAGATTATTAAAATTTAATGCAAACCCTAGTAAATAATTAACGATGCCAGGTCCCGTGATGGTTGTCTCTTTTTAGAACCTTTTCTCTCAACTTTTGCAAAAAAAAATTAAATGGATTGTATTTCCAAGTTCAGATGACTTTATTGGCGAAGATTAACAGACTTTTCGCTTTCTTGGACTATGACGTGGCTTCTTGGACGTGTCTTGAAATATTCTCGTTAGCAGTAATGGCAGATCCATTGTGAAATGTTCATTGTTTTGTTTCATTCTTACTGTGAATATTTTTTTTTCTTATGACTTTTTTATCAAGTATCTATTGTTCAATATGCAACAAAAGATATGGTACAATTAATGAGTTATCCTTTGTAAATTTTTAGGGTTATTCAAATTCAATACAAACCCTGGATTTTCTTAAAACGTGGTAAATAACTAATCATGTTAGGGCTCTTTTAGGGTTTTTTCTCCAAAATTTAGTCAATTTTCTGAAACGGGTTGTTTGGCCAAGCTCAGATGTCTTTATTTGCTAAGATTAACTATTAACAACACTTGGACTCTGGCGTGTTATTTGTTAAAATATTGGTCCATGGCGGGTCCATTTTGAAATTTTCTTTGCTTAGATTTTTTCTTAATATAAGTAACGTTTTTTCTTATGTCTTTTTCATATAGTATCTATTGTTCAAAATGCAACAAGAGGTATCCAACATTTATTGAATTCTAAAGAATGCTCCTGATTTGTTTTGTTTTTTCTTTAATGACCATTATAGATATTTCATTAGTATAATTTATCGCTTTATAAAATCATCTGCTAATAATAATTACTGAGAATCGTTATCTTCATTCTTTGTTGATTGATTAATTGAACGTCTTGAGGTGGATTTGGAAGTGTTGGTACTTTCTTTAACCCATTTTCTACTTCCATATTTGGGTTTTCTTGATCTTACCTGTCTCTGAATGTGATATCTAAAGATTAAAGAAAATAATTTCAAGCTGGATCTAATTTCAAAATCATACTGTACAGAAGGGATTTAATTAAATAGACTAAACCAAAACTGTTTCGACACCAACTATAAATATTATATGGCGAAATTCCATGTAAAACTTAATTTTCATTCTATTTGGACATATTTTGCTATGCATAAATACCTAAAAACAAAATTCAGAAGTATGTATGAGGTTTTTCGATTGTGTAGAATACTTAAGCGGATTGAATATTTTCTTGAAATCAACATAACTGAAATGCAATGGTTAATTGTTCATTTATACCTAACTAGGTTTCTTTTAATTTAGGAAAGGATCAAAGTAATAAGGTGTTCATCAAATAGAACTATAAGTCTCTAATGCTGTGATCATCAAACGATTTCCTACGCTATTTTTACTTTTGCTTTGTGAAGATCAAGCGACATATGTCTAAAATTATCGAATCTTCAAAATAAATAAGTTTTATTCTTATTTGAATTGTCTTACTACTCTCATTTAGTCGTTCCAGATTTCTGAACGCTCATCTCTCCCAATTCGAATTATAGCTTGCACAATTACGAACGAATTATATTTTGGGTAATTGCGTACAACCCGGTCGACCTAATGTCGAGTCTACACGAAATTGTATTACGATTACAAGAATGATGATTTATTAATAAGCTTAATAATAGAATAAAGAAGAACATACATTTTTTAGTTCCTTGATGTATTTACAGAAACGTATTACACTATATTTATATTGCATAGGCTGATACTTTAAACGACTATTATAAACGGTAAACATAATAATCGAATTAGATTAAACAACACTTTTTGATTAGTAATAAAATTTTAATTACTTAATTTTGTTAAAGACCCTAAAAAAAATCCTAAGCCCTTAATTGTTTTAGGAACGCCACTGATTACAATTATAGTTAAATTTAATTTATAACAAAAAAAAAGTATCACTACAATCCATGAAGGGTCATGGTTTAGTTCTTAGTAAGAAAGTATTGTACAAGGCCAACGGCTGTGCTGGGAGATGATTGGGACGGGAGATAACGCTCAACGGCCAGACTTTCCTTCGCAATTAATCATTTAACAACACCCTGGATTGATCCACGGCCGATCAAAAATTTACCTAACATTAGCTGGATTCAAACCCAGGATCTTGAGTTTAGGAAGTCAGTGCCGTACCCATTGAGATACCGCGCCCCCCCTAAATTTATAAGAACGCCACATAAATTCTTGTAAATATACTTTCGTACACACTCGAAAAAAAATTGTCGACCGCTATTTTATCCGTACGTTACAAATATTGTTTGAGATCAATCATTTGTTGTCTAATTTATATGTAGATTTCATTAAATAAAATAATTTTTTTTTTAATAATGAATAGTTTCGAGGGAAGGAGGTTCTCGCGATTATGGAATGGAGATATTAAAAAATGATTATTTCAAATATGAAGTCCATAAAGGTATTTTTCAAAGATGAAACGCTGACACAATAACCTTTCTAGTCATTGTTGCTACTTGTTAGTGTTACTGAAATGATTAAAACAGTAATAACATGCCAGTTATAGTGCAATAAAAAAACAAAAAAACAAAGACAGGATGTAGAGAAGCTCATATAACCTCTTTGGAGGAAATGTTTCTTATCGATTAACATTAGTTAAAGAAAGTAGAATTTCAGCGTGTACTTGGCTATAAGTAATATTTTCTTATGATATGATGTATAGCCAATAAAAACGTGTTAAATGAAAATTTATATTCTAAAAGCAAATTCAAAAATCTGGAACATTGAAAAGAATCCTAGTAAAACTTGTTGAAAAAATGGAGTGCATTCTGTCAAGGACACTCCTCCATAATAATAAGGGACCAACCTTGTCCGTATCAAGTCCTTTGGTCATTGCCCAAGTGGAAACGACATAGTCCATGACCCTTTCAGAGAGTGCTTTTGGTACCTCGTGTAGCTTCATGAACTCTCGCACGTTGTTTAGCATGTCGTGGTACTTGGCCGTCGCCGACGTCATCTGCTGGATAATGGTCGTCACGTGACCGAATATCGTGGCATACAACAGCGCTGGAAAATAATTCATATAAATACAACATACAGAAAGTATCAAATAATATTGAAAGGAATTAGAAATAACAGTGGTAATAATTTAAAAATGAACCCTGATAAAAGTTATTTATTTATTTGGATCGTTGCCTCTCGCAACACAGATTTTCGGTATAAGTATCGCGCTACTTGGACCACTTTTACTCTGATTCTCCGCTCTTCATTAGTGGAGGATGAAATGATCCACTGCCATTAATTCCTTCCACCCGTACACGAAAGCTATCCTTGCTTCCTAGCTGCGGGAAATCATCCTTAGTGATGATGTAAGAGTCCGGTTTCCCTCAGTGGTTTGGTCCTTATTGTCTCAAAAGCGGTACAAGTCGTGATAACATGCTCAGCAGTTTCTAGAACACCACAACAGGGACATAGGGAGTAATTTTCTTGCTTAAAGGTGTGAAGCTTGGTGCGAAACCCTCCGTGTCCTGTGAGGAATTGTGACATCCAATAATCGGAGAAGAACCACTTCGCTTCCAACCTTGAATAGACGGTAGGAAAGTATTTTTTCAAGATAGAGCCTTTATGTGTAATTACCAACCATCAATTCCACTGCTACGTGGTGTCCTACCTTATTATTCTTTTCCATTTAGACGGATCTACCGCAATCCTTTCTTGGAGATTTCTCGGGAGGCTTGATGTGCCTTCGTTTTTAAGAATATACTTTGTCCTATCCTCTTGCAGGAAAATGTCGATTGGTAACTTTCCTGCTAATACATGCAATACTTCATGAGCAACAGTCCTGTAGGATTATGTTACTCCCAGCAGAGCTTTTCTCGGGATTGTCGCTAATCTTCTTTTCTGTAGTTGCGAGAGGTTTCGATTTCAAACTGGGGACGCGTACCTCAGAAAACCGAGTACTACTCTTATACTCTTATAGATATTTATCGTTGCTGGGTACCTGCGGCGTGAATATATCAGACGTGAATTTGTTCTGATTAAACAGTGTTCAAGAGGTTGGAATATTAAAGATATTAATTAATTGGCTGGGATATGATTAATATGGTCGCTGGTTATATACATTCTTTTTGGTCATTAATTTGACCAAGTCGCATATTATAAAATAAAGTTTTTCTTTACCTACCGGCAATGATCATCATGCAAATGGTAAAGATCTTCTCATTGTCCGTCTCGGCGGCGACGTTACCGAATCCAACGCTGGTCATACAGGTCATGGTGAAGTAGAGTGCAGTCACGTACATCGTCTTGCGGGAAGGTCCGTTTACCAACTCTGGAACAGGAGAGTCTGCAGACCAGTTGTACGAATAAGGGCTCTGGGTGACATTGGCAAGCTTCCACAACCACGAGTATTGCAGTCCGTTGTCTGCGTCTGATCTCCCTGCCACATAAAATTTAAAATCTGACTGACAGTAATTTATAGTTAAACGACTAAATAAAAATTTTAGAAGATAAAATATTAATCGATGTTTGAAGAAAGCTAGGAAAGAGACTTTAGGAATAGAAATATTCAAAGCATTCCTAAAGAAGGAGAAACGAAAAAGAACGGATTTGCCGAAGAAAGCAATGTGAGGGAATATCTAGATACATATACAGATACTATAAGCTGCTCTGCTAATCAAGAAAGAGAGAGGGACAGAAGATAAGGTTATGGAAGTTAGTTGCAGATTTTTTCTGTTAATAGTTGGTATTGGCTTTACTCAAACTCTTTAAGGCTGGATTTCTCTGCTGGTGTAAAACGAACACTGGTGTACTCCGGTCCTTGCAATCGCCTCTAAACTTATTCATTATCCAATGTAGTGAAGCAGCTCAAATGATTTCAGATAAAAAGGTTTACGCACAGAATATGAAGAAGTAGAAAAGTGGGTAAAATGGACGGGTTGACGACTTGTTTAGAATTGGAAATAATGACATTCACAATTGGACGAGATCAACTTCACACGAAGTAAAGTCTCGTGTGGGATGGATTGATTAAGTTTTAAGCTAGCCAGAAAGGATTGGAAAACGCTGGCACTGGATAGAGTTGATGAAACCTCGTAAATATTACAGGGAATTCAAATTCTCGACAAACATAACTGATACCTTGTAAAAAATGAAATTGAGGATGAAAATGTGAGCTTTTGTATGTATATAGCAATCACCAAATTAAATCGAATACCTGGATTTGTAACAATGACTGCGCTGTATATAAAACAAAATGCTGGAAGTCAAAAATATTATACAAAGATACTGATATTTCTTCATATATTGTTGCCTAATTATATAAAGTAAAGTTAATTATAAGACAAAGTACCTATAGAGTACCAGATGCAAGCGAGCCAATGAGCGACCAGCATGTAGAAGCAGAGGAGCAGTATCAACATGGCGGCACCATACTCCAGGTAGCGGTCTAACTTGCGCACCACTCGACCCAGCCGAAGAAGCCGCACCACTTTGAGTGCGCTGAACAGGCTTCCGATTCCCTGTTAATTTCATTCGTTATCGACTTCATTATAACATAAGAGTAATAGTATATGGGAGACACTGAGCGACCATAATGTTGGTTTTTCGAAAACATTCATCAACAAATGGTCTGAATAAAATGAAAATCGGTAATGTTGATCCTTTTTGCTGACCTCTGACGTCTAACTACAACCTGCCGTCTTATCAATAACAGCTGGGCCGTTGCGTGGGCAGCTCGTTCCGGGCTGCCGGTCCAGGGAGCGCCACGGATTAAGGAAAATAATAATGAATATATATTATTCTTGAAAACAGAGCTATTTATATCCGCATTCTAATATTTGATTCATTTCTTTTCATCTTAGTGATGAAATCATGACTAGAAACGTAATCTTAGATCCTTGTGCAAAAGAAAAGGAAAAGATCTCCATCAAGGCAGGAACCTGGCAAGAATCAGAGAACATTGGTGATCCCATTGTTACCTAGTAGAGCGGTCCCTCCTCTCTAAGCGGAAAATACACTGACAGCAAAAAAAATTCACCCACTTGATTTTTTCATGTTTTCATCTAAAAATATTTCTGCTTTGGATTGGTCTATTGTATTTAATGAATAAATAGGTGATATTTTTGTTTGTTTTGAATAAGGAATGTTAATAAAGAGGATAATAACCCTTAATTCTTAATTCAATGAAATGATTCTAGATTCCAATGTTTACTTTCTATGGAATCAAAATGTTTATTCAGTATCATTAGTTCAGTGCCGTTTCTTGAAGTACATTCCTTAGTCTCCGGCTTTTAATTTTTTCAATATTAAGTTTAAAAATGCCTATAAGTGCTGAGGATGTTGCGCGTGGTGTGGCACTTATTGATGATAGACGTTCCATTAGATATGCAGCTAATGCCATCCGAGTTCCATATGGAACTTTACGTTTTCGGGAAACTGGTTCTTACAGTAGAAGGCCCGGTTCTGGACGGCCTAGGGTAACAGAACCACGGGATGACCGGTTTTTGACTTTGAGAATTTTACGAAACCGGCACCTTACCGTTGTTCAAGCGATTCATCAGCTCGAAGAAGTTCGAGGTGTGCAAAGTTCTGAACCTACCGCTCAGAAAAGATTAAATGAGTATGGATTAATGGCTTTTCTTCCAGAGCCAACCTTTCCAACGTGGTTCCTTAATGGGTAACAAGTGGGTGGAATTTTTTGCCTGTCAGTGTAGAAGGCTTCGTGCCACCTGTGCCAAAAATGCATACATCATACATATTTCCTATCCTACCTTAAAATACCCTTGGGTAATAAAAGGAGAATGTAAACCTGTATATACTCATACTTCTATCAGTTTGTATATTGTATTTGTTTATAAATAAAGTCTTCTTGGGGGCAAGAAAAAAAATGTGGTGATCCTGGTTAAACCATCTCCTATACTAATAGGACAGAGGTGTCCAGAACGGGTTTTTTTTGAGAAGGGCATATTTTGACGATTTTTTGAATTTTTGAGGGAGGCACATTTTGAAGGAGTTGTGAAGTTTTGGAATGAAAAGTTTCATACCAAGGGGTAATGAGAAAACATGGAACAGTCCGCAGCAATTGTGATTGTAAATCATGCACGATTTTTGTAATTCTATCTTCACTTGCTCTGTTTTTAAGAAAAGATGACCAATAAAATATCTTATACCATTGCCAGTCTCTATTTTATTTTAAAAACTTTATTTGTAGAGAAGCTTTCGGTGTCCATGCACCATATTCATCTCTATAATTATAATACTCCAATTAGTATTAATTAACAGTTAATTAATAAAATTAAAATTTTAGAGTCCATTTATATAGAAATAAACGAAAAAAAATGTGCTAAATTCAAAACATGAAGCGACCCACATCCCACAACACTATTCACAAACAATAGCCATTCATAAAAATTCAAATGATATTAAATTAAATAAGATAGGGTAACTTTAGTTACCAAATACTTGCGACAATATAGAGGCTGCTGACAGTAAATCCTCAGCAATCAGTAAGATGGTGTTGGACAAAAAGGAGTCCTATTATCGGAGAAAGCTGACATGAGATGAACAACAAGAACACTGTTCTTATCCCTTATGTTTTTAAATAGACAAAACTAATAAAAGGTATGGCATGATCTGATAATAATTACATGACATTTCGAAAATTATGTAATACATATATTGTTAATGTTATTAATTAACTGTTAATTTATACTAATTGGAGTATTATAACTACAGAGATGAATATGGTGCATGGACACCAAAAGCTTCTTTACAAATAAAGTTTTTAATTAAATAAAATAGAGACTGACAATGGTAAAAAATCTTGAACTTAAAAAGAATATAAAAACAGTCTAAAATTATCTAATAAAATATCATAGGAGAGGGGGAGTAGGTTCTTGGGCCATCGACCAAGAGGAGGATGGGCACCCATGCAATATGATGACACGATAGAAGAAGAATTTATGGCAAATCTTTTGTATTATATCATGTTTTATTTTCTTTAAAATTATTTATGGTCCCCTGCCCATGAGCTTAGGTTGAGTACTTGACCATAAAAACCTTCATGCACGAGAAGCTATCAACTAGAAATCATTGTTTTTTACCACAGCTACAGTTGCTGCAAAAAAAAAATTACAAGCAAGCTATGAATTCAAAATTCATTGGCCATTTGTAGAAGTTGAAAGATATATCTAGATATAATAAGTTTAAACTAGTCTAGTGCATAGGCGCCGACTTATGAAAATATTGGGGTGGCTAAACAACAGGATCACGGGGTGGGTGGCCTGGGAGGGTGGAGATATTGTTTGTAATATTTCCTATATACATTTATAAAAAATTACCAACTCAGGCAGGTATTAAATTATTTTAAGTGCATCCTGATGACAATAAAAGTCGCACAAAATACGGCATTCGATGAGTTGCAGAGCTGCGGGGTCCCCTAGTAGTCTATGGCTTCTGACCAATATACAAAGGTGTGAGAGAGCGCCTGATAAAATTTACCACCTACAATCATAACACCTAGCTACCACAGTGAGAGTTCTAAGATCATAAGAAGGAGGAAATGGAATTCCTAACTTCCCTCAACATTCACAGCCTCTAGTACTGTATTAAACTACAAGTGATGATAATATAACTATCCTGTCAAATGTTGAACTAAAGGCTGAACACAGTGGCATGGCTGTATTGATAAAAAATTAAAATTTCTTCTAACTGCTCAGATTCACTATCTTCTTATATACAATCAGTCAATGTGTGCAGTAAATTGTTTTGATCACATACCTATCATTCATGCTAATTGGGTCACTTACAAAGAAAGATCTGATTCTGAATTATTAGTTCCAATACTACCAAGTGTTTACTAAGGAATACTCCACAGATTACTAGAATTCTTATTAGTAATTTGGAATTTAAAAAACATTTCTAAAATATATCTGGATTATAGAGATTCTTAGTTCTAAAGCATTAATTCTTGAATACCATTGTACATGTTAATATAACACCAAATCTATTTCAACTTATGGCACCTCATTGTTCATCTTTTATCCAAATCATTTAATTCAAGAATGTTCATTATTGATAAAAAATAATGGATTTGGATATATTGTAATTGACATATGAAACATCAGTGTGTATGATATGAAAACATAAAAGAAATTTATTTATACACGCAAATCCATTAGTTTCTAAACATATCTCTTCATGTAGTAAATACATTTTTTTTTAACTTTGATTCGATAATGCATTTTGGATTTGAATCGATAAACTTGAGAAATTAAAATTTTCTTGTTTTCATTTTGAAAAATTGTGTTTTTTAAAATTGTCCTCTTAAAGTTGTATAAATTGTTTCTCGGATATTTAATTTTGTACTGAAATTAAAAGAAGGTAGTTCTGTAGAGATGAATAACACAAATGTTTTGAATTTTGTAAAACAATATAAAATTTTCCTATTTATTGAGTTTATCTATTCAAAGACAAAAGTTTACAAAAAAAAGGAGAAAAGTTATTGGGTATTGAGAGAATTGCAATATCGAGGCTAACTGAAGCTAATTTTAAAATAATATTTTTTTTTTTTCAAATTTATTTATTATCAGCCAATTTTACACCAATTTTTAAATTTTTTCAACTTCAAGACATCATGTCTAATTACAACGTTTCGGCCATTAACTCGTTTGAGCCATTTTCAAGTCTAAAAAAAGTTTTACAATTTACAGTCATATTTAAAACATTGGATATTTCAAACAAATAGAGATTCTTTTTATATACCTAAATATCAATGATTCAATTAAGTTAAAACTTTTTTTAGACTTGAAAATGGCTCAACGAGCCGAAACGTCGTAATTAGATATGATGTCTTGAAGTTGAAAAAATTTAAAAATTAGTATAAAATTGGCTGATAATAAATAAACTTGAAAATAAATAATATGCACCGAAGAAGAAGTTGAGAAATATTGTGAAAATAATAATCTTGTTAAAGTGTGTTTTCTTTTTGGTTTACCTGTTATTATAAGAACTGACATTTCATTGGATTGAAATAAATGCAAGGTTGTATTAAGCCTTCGTATATTTCCATTTTAATGGAATAGAGAGATATGAATGAACTTTATTAAATACAGACCTACACATACGGATAATTAAGTAGATATATATTCTATAAATACTATAAAATTAATAAAAAAGTAAATATTATGGCAGCATAGAATGAAAGCTTAGCTTAAAGGAAATTCTACTATTTAATGGCTATTTAAAATATTTATCTTAAGTATATATTTTTTAACAAAACTAATATATGAGTAAAAACTATATTCATATAATAAGATTATATACTGATACTAAATACAGATCTAATTAAATAAGATAAAATTTAAGAATTCATGCAATTGAAACGGTTGTATTTTTTATTTATTATTATTTTTTTTGAAAAGAGCTAATTTACTGCTTTGATTAATTTTATTCTTTTCATATATATATATTTTTTTAGTGGCTAAGCTTTTTCTTTAAAATCAATTCATGCACTACAAAGCGTGTAGCTGCGT